GCACACATAAACAACTTCACATTCAAACATGGCCACTAATTTTGATTGGATTGTTTTGTATGTGACATGACTTTGTGTCATTTTTGTTATACTTTTGATGTTCATAATCTAAAGATTAAAAAAAAATCTTCTGTTGTGACATCAGAGAGGAAGAAGCATTCTGAAGTGCTGATTCTTCACATGCTCCACCCTGGGCTTATGCACTGGACACAATATTTTAGTGGTATTTGGTGGATCAGGTATCTGGCACCACCATGAAACTAAATGGTTTCCTTTTCTTTCATTTCCAAAATCCCTACACACCAAAGCTCATTCTAAAGCAGCCCACTTGCCCGTTAACAGATGTTGCTGAAGTGTCTCCTGACCATCAGCTAAACAAACATTTCAATAATGTAATAAAACGTCCAACTTGTAAAACACTGGCCCCTAGTTAAACTTGTTCTTGGAACTATGTCCTGTAAATCTAAGGTCTCATTTTCCATAGCACCTGTTAGCTTCTTGGGTAGTCAGTAAGCTTGGAGGCTAATATTTTCCATATAAATCAGTGTTGCAAGCAGCCTGGTATGTGACCTTAAGTGTAGCCATGAAGGACAAATCCTAAGAGTGAAATGAATACGGCCAGGAAGGGAAGAGCAGTCACGGAATGGGGCAGGGACAAAGGACTGGGATACTTCACCTTGTCCCTTGGGCCTGGGGGAAGAAAAGGACATTTTCCATTCAGTTTACTTATCATTTACACATCCTAATACATGACAAACAGAACCTCTGCCATCTCTGGCTCCAGGGATAGTGGGCGCTGTGGATTTGCCTTAGTGCCACTTTGTTTTTTTTCTAGTTGATTGTGGGATGCAGACAGATTTGGAATTTTATAGAAGGAAGTTATGGAAGAGCTGGGGATAGTTTTCTGGAAGAGGAGAGTTATTTGATAGCTTCCATAGGCATGGAATCTGAGAGAGACAGAGACAGAGACAGAGACACTGAGACATTTCTCATGGAGTTTTGCTACGTGTTATCTGACTGAACTCTAGCCTCTATGGTTCTTCCCACTTAGCTCTTCAGAGCTCTCACTGTGTGAAGGGGAAGGTAAATATGAGGCCACTGCTGACTGAGAAAGAGCCACAGGAGAGCTACATTGCTTAAAGGAGAATTATGTCATTCTTCCACTTAAAATTTACCTCATTTTTCTTTGGTGCAAGGACATCTGAGTTGCTAACAAAAAATCTTGGGAGTATCTTACCATCGCAAACCAGTTTCCTAAATGCATGGCTCACGTAAGTCAACTAAATGTAAAGAAACATTATCAAGCAAACAGCTCACTATTCATAATTTTTTAAATGTAATATTAATCTGTCATTTTACATATTTGTGTCTCTCTATTTTCTGGGATCAAAATATCTAGTGGTGTTTGTACAGAAAGTAAAACTCAGGGCAGAACTCCCATTTCTAAAAAGTGTTTCTTATTTACATTATTGCTAGGCATCCAGTTCCTGGGTTCAGGGAGAATTTTTAAAATTTCTTTTGTTGTCCCCTACAAACTCTATATTTTAAAATCACTCCCCAGTCTGTTTTGACCACCTGCTCAGAGCTCTGTGAAAACAAGCATGTGCCACTGGTAACCCTGGCACAATGAAATTACAGAGTCCTTTACACTGATGTGTTCCAATATACTAAACGATGTTTTGAAGTTTAAAAACCATTAAATTGGACTTTCTATTATTTCCTCCTAGGTTGCATGAATATTTGAGACTCTACAATATTCACATTTAAAATATCTTTGGCCTCATACTTATTTAAGAAGAATTAATATCTATTCTGACTAGTAATAAACAGAAGGAAAATAATATGAAAAGGGAGAATCCTAAAAGCCAGGAAGAGGTCATTATGCTTCTGTTCTTTTCATATCCTACATGGCTTTTGAATGAGGAGGCAGCCTTCCTTCCCTGGAATAGTCTCTTGGTAGCTCCCCTCTGCTCTGTGCTGTGGTCCATCGTCCCCCAGACGGTGGCTCACGAAACCTCCTTGGCTCCCACTCCTGATTTTGGTCCTTTCTACATCCTGACCAGTGCAAAAAGCTGTAGCTAAATAATAGTAAGAAAAGTTCAATAATTCATTCATTATTGTTTAAAAAAATGTTATTTCTGCCCACTGACTCCTTATTGCTTTTTGTAACACACTTAAATAAACTCTCCAAACAACAGGTACCTAAACCCTTTCTGCCTCCGCACCTTCTATTCAAAGCAGTGTTTAAGACTTTTCATTTCCTTATTTCCATCAACATATTTATATATTCTGTATTTAAATGTATCATCCTTTCCCCTCAGTTTAAAAACCTTTCAATCAGTTTTTAAAATTCCAATTCAAAATTAAAAATTGCACTTAAAATGCATTTCTGTTTCTATAAGAGGTTTACCCCGAATAACCTAGTCAATTTTAATTCATGCAAGGCCTGTCCTCCTTCATGGTTTTGACTCCCAGGAAATGTTTTATTTATTCACTATTTGTCCACTCATCCATTTATTAAAATCTTTATTATTATGTGCTCAAAATTAGGAACAAACTCGAATGCCAAAATGATCAAAATTATGGGCTTGTGTCTGGATCCTAGCTCCGCCCTTTGCCAAATGTGTGACTAGTCGGTAAGTTACTTAACTTCCTACCTTGCGCTTTTCCCGTGATTCACATAGACATGAAAATAGGGGCGCTTTTCCCGTGATTCACATAGACCTTAAAATAGTAACCCCCTAGTTTATTATGAAGTTTAAAAAAATAATCTATGCAAAGAACTGTGGCTAGAGACTGGTTTATGTCACCTATTTGTTGTGATCTAGAGATACATTACACTGTTCGGCATGAACTGGACATGCTATTATTCTAATTTCTGTGCTCATCCTTCGGAGTAAGGGCACTGTAATTGGCCTCTACTCTCCTATGTCTTCAGGGTAATGATCTCATGGGGAAGTATGTTCACAGTTCTTATACAAAAGAAGCATGAGCTTCTCAGAAGCAGGTCCATTCTGAGGGATCCTGAGTCTAGGAATGCTATCATGTTGGGAGAGGGGACTCTAATGCATCAGAGGATTCTGGAGCAGTTAGAGGATCATATGTGAAGAAACTGCCTTGACCAGTTGTGTGTTCAGATAGAACCCCACCTTTTAGACATGAAGTGCATATTGAAAGGAATTGCTCATATTTAAAAAGTCCCATATGATGGCTGGCAGTGTCCCTCAGTACAGCTACTGTGTCCTAACAATGAATGTCCACCTGTCATGATGTTCTGCACTGAGCCAGAAAAAGAAGAATGAGAGTGGAAACCGAAAGCAGGGATGCTGGCCTTTTCCTCTTTTACCCACAATGCCTTTGCTAGGGAGATCTATGGGTGGGGGGAGGCAGGGGTTTGATAGACATTTCCCCCTTTGCACTAAGAAGCTCTCTAGGCTGGTCAGAGTCCATTTATGACCATGTCAATTTTTAAAATTAATATTTAGTACACTTTGGATATGTATTACACAAAGCAATGTTACAACACTTAAAATAGACACCCTCAAAGGGAGAGAATAGAGTCCCGATATTAGTTAAAGTTAGAGATTTGCTTGAGGGTGCAGAAAGGCAGACAAAAACCACACCAGGGGTCAGATTTAGCTCCTTCTTTGTTTAGTTGTTGTCTAATGAGAACTCTCTGTTCAAACTGAAATGAAAGGTTGTCATTTTCAGAGTTAATTAAGTGTGGGAAGTGCTTACAAACCAACCACCTCTGGTCCCTCTGTTCAAAAGCAATACAGAATGAGCTTAAATGAAATAATTACATAGAAGAAAGATTATATAACTAGTTTTATTCTGACTACCTTTTCCACCAAAGAAGAAAAAAAATAACTTGAATGTCTGACATTACATAATGCTTTTAATCAATTATAACATACAAATAAAAATATTAGGTAGCCTTTTAATATAAAAGCATAACTGTAGGACTATTGGGAATTCATAATTATATAGTGGGTAGTGAAAATAGCAAAATATAGTCAATAGACACAAATATATAAAGGGAAGTGTATATGTAGAGCAAGAATCTTAGAAGAGAAAGACATGTTTCTTACCTGCTCACTGAAATGGTAAATAGTATATAAAACAGCTAAGTATGTTAAAGAAACAGAGACCACATCGAACCCTTCTTGGTCTAAACAAGTTGCCCTGTGACCAGTTCCCACGGTATCGGGACTTGTCTCCTGCAGACCCCAGCTTCTTGTAGGCTTGCCTTTGAAAACAGAGACCTGGGGTCTGAAGGTTTAAGGAAGAGAGGCCCTCTGCTCTTCAGTGTACATCTCCTGGGCAAGCTGGCTCCAGAACTACCTTTGTGTTCCACCCCATTGACTCTCTGCTGGGTTAAGGTTCACTGTCCTCTGTTTAACAGAAGCCATTCTCCAACAGAGAGCAAAGCCATGCTCTTCCACACCAGTTCTTCTCGAACTGTTTCCATATGTAGAAGTCAAAATTTAGTCACCAGCATTGTACAGAAAGAAATAAAAAAAATAGTTTTTAAAATGAAACATTTGAGGGTTTTTTCCCTCTAAATGGTTTTGCTGGAGAGTTTTCATTCCTGCATATTTGTATTCTTCATTAATAATATCTTAAAATCTTTCACGTAACATATTTACACACAGAGAGAAAAAAATTCTATATTGTAAATTCCTATCCCCATGCTTTGGAAGCTACAATTCATAAGTTATTGCAGAATTCATTTATAAACTGGGTTGATTTCTTTGACTCACTGTGTCCCTTTACGTCCTTTTTGGAGGACAGCAAAGTCAAGGATGTTTGTTCTTGTTTAAATGTTAAGTAGATTGGAAAATAAAGACATTACGAACACAAACTGTTTTAAATACTATTTCAAAGATTATCCTTGTCATTTTTCTATTGTTCTCCTTTCAGGTTTCTGTTGACTTTTTGTCCTTTCTAAAAAGGGGTGGATTCTGAGCACAAAGTGATGGCTTACAGTGAACAGGTAGTCGCACCATCGAAATATTTTTCAATTTAATGATTTGGAATTATAAAGTGTTCTTTTATTGCTTTGGCTGGCTTCATTTGCCTTTATGTTCTGCAGTGGAAAGCTGGTTTTCCTAAACGGCTGGAGTGACCCTTTCCCAGAAGGCAGCACAAGATGATCTAAGGTAGAAGTCCCTGGAAATCATCCAGGGGAACCTGGCGATGCTGCCGAGAGGCCCGTCGTGTGACTGCAGGCACCTGTCATCATGCTCTGGAGCACTCTGGCAAAGGATGAAGAAATGTCAATTATTAGACAACTTTTACTAGATAAGACAGAGGTGTAACCCTTAACTCTCTTTTGAGTGCAGTGGTTTCTACTTATCCATTTTATTTGAGTTACAAAAGAGTAGTATTTGATATTCCAATAAAAAATGCAAACACGTTTTGTTAAGATCACTCTGCCCAAACATTCAGAATTTTTCTAAAATTTGAGTTTAATTTGAGTGAGACCCTGTTCCTCTTTCTCAAAAAACCAGAAAGAAAAAAAACCTGGAATTTTTTGCTATCTTCATAAAATATCGAGCCTCAACTTACAATTTTTTTCTACTTTTACCAAGTCCAATCATTATACTACAGCATACTACAGTAGCCACTCAAAACAGCCAATATACGCTTATTCTTACTTTATTTCTCTAAATGAATTCCCATCTTAGGGCTGGCAAAGTGAATTCCCCATTCTTGCCTCTTACTCTATTTGAATCTACTTTTTCCTCCTCTGCACAGTTTCTGTGTACCATGGAACTCATCTGTCCCCACGCAGTACTGTTTGCATATCTGTGTACCATGGAACTCATCTGTCCCCACACAGTACTGTTTGCATATCTGTGTACCACGGAACTCATCTGTCCCCACACAGTACTGTTTGCATAAAACAAAACCTGGCATCACCTACATTTGTCAGGTGAAGAGGTCATTTGGAGTCAACCTAATAGTGATGACCCAAAACTTAGGCATGAAAGTAACTCAAGAAGTACCTCTTTTCTGTCCTCCCTTAATTATTCATAGAGGAGCTCCCATAGCCTCACCTGGCATCCTAGTTTCCACAGGTAAGAAACACTGGGTATACATTCTAAGGTTTTCCACTTCTCATGCATGGTTACAAGCTTGTGAAGCAGGGTGTAGTCAGTATAGGTGACTGCTCAACTCTTTCTCCTAGAGTTCTTGTGACATACTATAGCAGGGATTAATGATGTCTAAATTGCTTGGAGATTATTATTGCCATATGATCCAGTAACTGCATTCCTTGGTATTTACCAAAAGGTGCTGAAACATATTCATACAAAAACCTGCACCCTGATGTATATAGCAACTTTATTCACAACTGTAAAATGGGAAGCAACAGGTGACTGGATAAATGGTGATAGATGCAGATGACTGAATATTTTGAGTTCTAAAAAGATGTGAAGTATCAACCCATAAAAAGAACATGAAGAAAACTTAAAGGTGTGTTACTGAGAGAATCCAACCTGAAGTGAAGAGGTGCCACGCCATAGGAATGACTTTTGACTGTGACATTCTAGAAAAGGCAAAACTATGGAGATGGTAAAAGATCATGGTTGGAGCAAGGGAGGAATGACTATTTGGGGGACAATAAAAATTACACTTAATGACAGATATGTTGTAGATGTAACCAACCATCTTATTAAGTAAGAAACACAGAACCAATGCAAAGAAGAAAGCCAAGAGATCAGAGCTAAGAGCCTTACCCGCCTGCTGCAGCTAGCCTCTTAAGCTAAGAGACCTCTCCAAAAGAGAGCTACTTCCTGTCTGTTTGTCTTTATATAGACTTTCTGTTCTGCCTTCTCATTGGTTGTAAACCCAACCACATGACTGCCTTGTCACTGTCTGTTGTACAGCCCTCCAGGTCTTCTATGGTATTGAGATTAAAGGCGTATGTCTCCAATGCTGGCTGCATCCTTGAACACACAGAGATCTACCTAGCTCTGCCTACCAAGTGCTGGGATTAAAGGCGTGTGCCACGAACACCCAACTCTGCTATGGCTTGCTATTAGCTCTGATCCCCAGGCAACTTTATTTATTAACATACAAATAAAATAACATTTGAGTACAATTAAAATATCACCATAATATGTGCCATTGCACATGTGCCCATAGAACATACAACACTTAGGGTGAGTCCAACAGTAGACTATGAACAGTGGGTACCATCTGCCTATGCAGGTTAGTGAACTCTAACATGAGCACTCCCTTGGTGAGGGGCATTTGCCATGGTAGTCTGTAAACATCTGGGCATTTGAGGAATCCCAGTACTTTAAATTTGCTATTAGGACAAAACTGTTCTAAAAAAAAAAAATCAAGTCTTAATAAGTAATTTCATGGACTACTTAATGCACAGTTTCCTGTTGGCTTCTTCTTCTTGCAAAACCTTGGACATTATTTTGAGTTTTATTTTAATATCTTTGTGACAACAAATATATTTTGTCCTTTTCTGAATAATAACTCATAATCTTATATCTCCCCTTAATTATAAGCCTTAGCATTATAAACTTCTAATTTAATATGCTTTCTTTGCTGAGGCATTTGATGATAGTAGTACAAATTCACAATTTATAGTGTGCAAGAGTTGGGGCTGTGTGCTGACATTATGTCTTCATAATAAAAATTGGGAAAACAATCCTTGTGACTCATGTCTCATTCCTATGTTCCTAAGTTATCTGTGAAGGATACTGTAAGTAGTAATGAGATTTGCATATTAAACATCTCCAAAGGCCATATGCTAGAGGGTTTGATCACTCTCTGACAGTGCTATTATGTGGTGGTGGATCCTCTAGGAGGTAGACCTGGCTTGGAGGAGACTGTCCTCATAGACTTCTATGTTTGAATGCTTAGTTCCCAGTTAGTGGAACTGTTTTGGAAGGAATAGCAGGTATGGCCTTGTTGAGGGAGATATGTCACTAGAGGTGGGCTTTGAGGTTTCAAAAGCCCACGTCAGGCCCGCTTGTGGATCAGATGTAAGCTCTCAGCTACTGTGACAGTGCCATGCCTGCCTTCCTGCTGCCATGATCCTCCCATGATGACCATGTACTAATCCGTGGAAACTGTAAGCCCTCAATAAACTAGTGTATAAGCTGCCTTGGTCATGGTGTCTCTTTGTAGCAATAGACAAGGAACAAAGAGAGGACCTAACAGAAAAAAGTTAAATTATGGAAGACATACTGGATCCTTCCTTTCTCTACTTCTTGGCACCATGGGTAAGCAGCTTTTCTTCAACATACACTTTCTACCATGACCTTTCACCTTACCTTAGACCAAAGTAATAAGACTAAGTAACCGTGAACTGAAACCCTTGAATCCCTGAGCCAAAATCAATCTTTCCCCTTGACTTAGGTCTTTTGTCACAGTGATTGAAATTCGACACAATTTCTTAATCTTTTTTTTTGTTAAATTTTTAATTTGTTTTACATATCAACCATAGTTTCTTCTCCCTTCTCTCCTCCCATTCCCTCCCTCCCACCTCTTTTCTAACACCCCCTCCCAATCCACTCCTCAGAAAGTGCAAGGCTCCTCCTCCCTACATCAAGGCTGAGCAAGACATTCCACCATAGGGAATAGGTTCCAAAAAGCCAGCTCATGTGCCAGGGACAGATCCTGATCCCACTGCTAAGGGCCCCACAAACAGATCAAGCTACACAACTGCCAACCACATGCAGAGGGCCTAGGTCAGTCCCATGCAGGCTCCCTAGCTGTCAGTTTAGTATCCGTGAGCTCCCACAAGCTCAGGTCAGCTGTCTCTGTTTGTTTGCCTGTCATAATCTTGACACCCCCTTACTCATATAATCCCTCCTCCCTCTCTTCAACTGAACTCCTGGTCAGTCTAGTGCTTGGCTGTGAATTTCTGCATCTGCTTCCATCAGTTACTAGATGAAGGTTCTATGATAATAATTAGGGTAGTTACCAATCTGATTACAGGAGAAGGCCAGTTCAGACACCCTCTCCAATATTGCTAGGAGTCTTAGCTGGGGCCATCCTTGTGGATTCCTGGAGTTTCCCTGGTACCAGGTTTCTCCCTAACCCTGTAATGGGCCCCTCTATCAAGATATCTCTTTCATTGCTCTCCTTCTCTGTTCCTCCCCTAACTCAGCCATCCCGGTCCCTCATGTTCCCATCCCCCAACCCCTCCCCTATACCCTTCCCCACCTGTCACCACCAGTTTACTCAGGATATCTCATCTATTTCCCCTTCCCAGGGTGATCCATGCATCTCTCTCAGGATCCTCCTTGTTACCTAGCTTCTCTGGGGCTAACACAATAATTTTTAAGAACACATTTTTGTTGGCAATATTCAATAGTTCTAGTGTAGAAGAAAAGAATAATATAATAATTAGACTAATTATAATTAATATAATAATTAGAAGAGAAAGGGTATGTAATTATGTTACTAGGTATAAATATCCGGTCTGTCACACAGATTATGTGTGATTCTGTGGTATGGAAAATGTCATCTGTTGGGAGATCAAATGAGGTCATGCTTGTAAAAATTTCTAAACACATTATCTGCTAAATGGCATGGTTTTGTTAGTATGGAGGACTGGAGACATTTTCTGACTTTTAAACGCGAATCATGAGCAGAGCCTTCAGATCAAATCGTACACAGTGCTTCCTGAGTTGATGAGAATGCAAGCGCAGGTGACTTTCCTTCCCTCACACCCTTCCTCTTGCTCTGGCTTCCCCTGTCCTGCAGTTCTCTGGTCTCATCTCACTGCTGCCCAGCCTAAGCTGCTCTGTCGTCGCTCTAGACACACAGACACCAGTGGACTCGGTCATCCTCCCCTCACGTTCTTGTGGCGGAGAAGGTAAGAGACAGAGGTGTGTATAACATTCAAAGTCCCACCCTACTCACCTACCTTCATCACCCAGGCCTCAACCTTTAAAATAGTGTCACTAGTGGGAACAAATAATTCAAAACAGCCTGTGAGGAACTTTTCAGGTTGAAACCATAGCGACAAACATTACTTTCTCTTGTCTTTTTAAGCAAGATCGCAGGATGCTGTGGGAGAAAGTAAAACAAACAAACAAAAAACCCAACAAAACAAAACAACAAACAAATAAAAAGCCCAGTGTCAATTGTATCACTGTGTTCTTCCATTTGCTCAGTCACCTGGAAACTCAAGGCCTTTCAGTAATTCTCTCATGTTTGGTAAGCTGTCTCTTCAGTTCTATACAAAATCTCAGCAACACACTCTTCTTTACCACAACCCTGA